TCGGAAATAGCCCCGTCAGTCAGCGCCGGGGGCGGTCCGGGCCGAGCGGGGTTGGGGTTAAACCGCTTTTTAACGGGCGGTGAATGACACGGGTTGGGGAAGAGCAGGAACGCTCGTGTCATGTTTTCTGAGGCACAAACCCGACGGTTTCTGTGCGCGGACAGGTAATCCGGCCTGCCTGGTCCGCACCTCTCGGCTGTCGCTGTAGGCAGCCGCGGTGCCGTGTGTGACAGCGCTCAGGGCTCAGAGCCTTGCTGCACTGCTTCTTTCAGAGGTTCTGACACGTGTCGAAATATGAAGCAGAAAAAAACCAAGAACTAGTCCCTCCGATTTTGAAAATTAATCTTGCATCTTATTTAAGATTGGATTCCAACCACATTGAAGTATTTCAGTTCAGTCACTTCTTTGCTGCTATCCCAGGACTTAGTGTTACGTTTCTGTCCAGTTGTTTGGCTTTTCTATTTTTGTGGCAATACTCTCCTCCTATTTATATACAAAAAGGCTGTAAGTAAAACCCTGGGTTTTTCCCACCTTCCAGACCATGCTGTAATCTGTTCTCAGGCACCCTAACTGACCCTGTTTTGCTTGTTCCCCTGGGCTTATCTTGCAAAGATCGATAGATCTGCATCTTAGCTTTCGCTTCCTGCGCTGTTGCAGTCTGACTGTGCCTTGGTCTTTTCCGAATGCCATCTTCTCTGTGTATTTTTGATAGCGTGTGCACTCTTCATGCTCTGTTTTGAGCGGTTTCAGTGTAACTGCCCGATGACTGAGGAGAAACACACACACACGCCCACTTTGGTATGATTTTTAAATCCTCCAGTTGTGAGATCTCCGGGCTGTACAGTCTACATACTGTTCTATTTAAACTCCGTGTAAACAGAGGTGCTGGGTTTTTGAGGCCCGATCACTTAGGCTGTCTTCCAGCATTAAGTCCTGAATGGAACAGTTAACGGGCAACCCTTATGAAAATAGCTTTTAAAAATATGTAAGCCCAGTAATCCACTTGGACTGGATAAGGCTGGGGTGTACTTTTCACTAGATTCCTACATTACGTCATCCCACAGCTCCTATGCTGAAGACTGGTGTCAGGACAGTAATGTCCTGTTTCCTCCTTGGAGACAGCATGGCTTCATGGAGCCAAAGCAAAACAAGTGTTACTAAATTTAAGCCTCAAGCTAAACTTCAGGTTCGTATAGAACCAGCTTCGTATTGTGGCTGTTGCAGCTGTCTCGCTTCCACTGTGTTCTCAGCTGGTTCAAATGTCTTTGAGGGTGGAAGAGTATGAGCAGTCATAGTTTTAGCGTATGCTGATTCACTTACTGCTATTTAAGGTAGGCCACTGTTAGTAACGTTGATGTAACATTTTAGCATTCTCTCTTTTGACTGCCTGTTTGGTATCTGAAGTGCTGCACAAAGGACTCTGGAGCAGTTTAAGGTGATGAAACAATCTTAGAGAATTGATGTTCTTGAGAGACTTCCTTGAAGAAGTACAGAGGTGGATGAAAATGGCCAGAGGAATAAAAAAAAGGCAATAGAAGGTTGTGGGAGGAGACCATAACATATTACCAAATAGTGACACTGTTTTAATATCTAGTTGTATTTTCAAAGGGCATTTCCAAACTAGTACAGGAGCAGGGAAGAATCCTCAAATCCTCTTCTTTCAAATAAAGATTAAGAATTATTGTTCTATTTTTACAGGTTATCTTATGAATGAAAGAGCTGAACAGATTGTTCATGAATTCTAGAGGGCACCTAGGTTGAAGCAATGGAGAGAATGGTACTAGTATGCATTTTATTTTTAGACTGTAAAAAGACATTGATTTCAAGGGGAAAATTGTTCTTTCTGATTGCAGTAAGTAGCAGCAAATACAGGAGATAAACTCTTAGCCAATTCGTAAACTTCTAATGACTCAGTTCATTTGAAACCTTACGGGGGGGCTGCAAGCTATGATCACACACACCATTTCTTGACAATATCTGGCACATGTTCAGGCTTCACAGAAGACACATTTTTGTATTTTGCTTTGCAAGCACTTTTCTTTGACTTACTTTGTTGGAGAACATGCACCGCAAGCCTCTTTCTTAGAGGGTCTTGAAATTTCTGCTTATTTGCTGAATCCGTCTTCTCATTTAGAATTTGCTTCACAGGAGCCGTGGAGATGTCTCGTAGGAGCCCTTTTGCCTCCTGGCTTTGTGCTATGCTCCACTGCTTCGGAAGTTACATACTTGCTGATCTGTTACTTGGAGAATCGCCTATTGATTACTTCAGTAATAACTCCAGTGTCATCCTGGCCACAGCAGTCTGGTGAGTCTTCTGCACTTCACCTGATTTATTAAGCATGAGACACCGCTGGCTGTGTACAAAACCATCTGGTGTGAAGGGAGGTATTCTGTTTGTGTGACACGTGTATTATCTTGTGTGGATTAACTGGGGAAAGAAGAGGTGGGGTGAGGTAGTCTTTGAGTCCTTTGTATTCCTAGATCTAGTTTCCAGTTTCTCTGACCAGTTGTCTAACGCTTTGATTATATGGGTTGGGTCCAGTCCAATCGCCGGGCATTTCTATTCATAGCTGCCGCAGCTGAACTGTGGCCAAACCGCAAAAGCAGCATGCGCTGCACTGATACCACATATAGTAGAGGAGTGGCACACACTGAAGATTTGGGGGCATTTTATTCATTGTGTAAGTGAAATGGGCACAAATTAACCGGTTACTCCAAGTTTAATGTCCTCGGTGCGTATGGGTTGTATGTGCTTGAACCAGTATTTCCTTCTCCCTGATGTAATTCAGGCAAACACCACAGTACTCTTAATCCTCTCTATACGTCCCAGATCAGGACAAACAAATGGGTCCTTAAACTCTTTGTGTTTTTTTTCCAGGTATTTGATATTCTTCTGTCCCATGAACCTCTTCTACAAGTGCGTTAGCTTTCTGCCTATGAAGCTCATCTTTGTGGCAATGAAGGAGGTGGTCAGAGTTCGCAAAATTGCGGCTGGGGTCCACCATGCTCATCACCGTTACCACCACGGGTGGTTCATTATGATGGCTACTGGATGGGTCAAAGGTGAAACGTGAGATACTCCTAACGCAGCAGGGAGGCACCCAGCCCTGTGGGGAGGGACGGGAGAGTCTGTGAGTGAAGCTTAAGGTGACCGCATCAGCCGGTGCTGACCAGCAGGCTGGTCAGTGGATGTGGTCAGCTGGCTTCAATCAATCAAGTTCCCTAGAACACAGGTATTTAGTCATACTTGCGGAATGGTTGTCAGTTGAGTCATCATCTAACTTTAATGGAGGCGTGAAGAACTGGAGTCACTATGAAATATGGGTGTAGAATTCAGGAATTCTTCATTCTTTCTCCTGTGTTCTACGGTCTCTGGCCTCACCCCTATCTTTTCAGGGGGGTTCTATCAGTGTTGAAACAGCCCAGTCAGTTTTCCTTTAGCTTTTGTTTGGAGCAAGCATTTCAGTATCACTAAATGGAACAGAGGCAAATGCCCTTTCCCTGCATCAGGAAACACTTTATAGAAAGTCTAGAAAGCGTTTGCCCTGCTCTGTTGTTTTAGGCTAACTTCTATTAAATTTGGGAAGAATGTCATGAACCTTTTGTTCCCCTTAGGTTATCCTTATCCCTTGGGGATCTGGAAAAGACAGCTCTCTGCTCTCTGCTGGTGTGGCAGTTCTAGCTGTTCACTTTTACTGTTTCACAGGTTCTGGTGTTGCCTTGATGTCTAACTTCGAGCAACTGCTGCGTGGGGTCTGGAAGCCAGAAACAAACGAAATTCTTCGTATGTCCTTGTAAGTAGGTAGCCTGTAAATTCTCTGTAAGACCAAAAATGGAATTTAAAGAACCATTCAGGACTGGATGCAAACGATGCAAACCTCCTAGAAAACTTCTGTATTTCTCTTCTAGCCCTACAAAGGCTAGTCTGTATGGCACAGTCCTCTTCACTCTGCAACAAACTCGCTGGCTCCCTATCTCTGAAGCCAACCTCATCTTCTTTTTCACCATGTTCATGATAGTTTGCAAGGTAAGTTTACAGCAGGTTTGCTGCTAACAAATCTACAGAACCAGAGAAAGGGCACAGACTTAAACTGGGGGTGTTCACCTTCCTAAGCCACTATTGAAGGCATTGGCTGTACGTACCAGGAAAGATCTGCTCTGGAAATTGTAGGCTAAATTCTCCATCGTATAGGCAGTATGGTAGAAGATCCTTGTGATATAGCCCTGAGTCATGTAGCAATAGGGACTTCTATCTGGGGTAAGTGGAATGCTCCTTACTAGTTAGTATTTCATAGCTGGTGCATGTGATCTTTAACTTTAAGTATTCACTGTTGCATGGCAGGTTTTCATGACGGCAACTCACTCTCACGCCTCACCTTTTGCTCCAGTGGAAAGCTTCATCTGCCCAGTTTTCTTTGGCTCTGTTTCCAGCGGACACACTAGTGATCATCACGATCAGCATGGGGCCTCCCATGAGGTTTCCCATCCTCCGCCTCCTCCTGCAAAGTCAAAAGAGGAGCTAAATGAAGGCACAAGGAAACGGAAAGCAAAAAAAGCTGAATAAAAAACCACCACACAGTAAACAGGCCAAGAAAATTCTTCCAGAGCCGAGTCTCAAAGCCACCTGTGACCTCCTTTATCCTCCAGTCCTTCTCTCTCAGACTCCAGAGGAGAGGTGGAAGCCAGGACGCTGCCAGGCGGGTCCTTGAATTTCATTTGTGCTCTCTGTGCTGCTGCTTGCTTCTTGGTCTCAGTCTCTCTATTCTGATCATATTTTCAGGGATTTGTAGATCTGTGCCAGGATGATAAGTGAGTGCCAGTTCCCAAGCTGTCAGCAATTATGATGCAGCATTTTCCATTGATGTAAAATCTTTCACTGTGTTTATTTATGAATGGAGGTAATGGTTTGTGCTCCTGCAACTCCTAAGTTCCTTTGAGTTTTCACTGACCTTTTTGATGTCTACCAAGACAACAAACTGTTTAGACACAATCAATGTGGAAATTGGATTTCATACTCAAGGAAATTAAATGGTCTCGTATGAGCCTGATCTAATTTTTCCTAGCTCCCACATCTGCCATATCTCCAATTAATGTGACATTTTATATGCAATAAGGACATCGACTCTGGTGTCCTAGCCAAACTCTGTTTCTCTCACCTAAGTTCCTTCTGATTCTTAATGGATAGAACACGTCACTCTCTTAACTAAGTCTGTGTCTGCAAGAGCTTTGAAGCTGTGAAATGCTCCGAGTGCTATGTATTGGTATTGTTATTATTCTAAACTGTTGTGTAGCGTTGCTGCACATTGCTAACAATAGTGTGTCCCACCTCAAACCTGATCATATTTAACTAGGGAAGAAGCATAGTTCTGGTTTGTTTGTAATCCTGTGGGATACAAGAAGGGTGTGTGAGTGTAAATAAGTATTTATTACTATTTATTTATAATTGCTGGGGCACCTAATTCATGGACCCGAAACTGGCTTTTTTAAAATGTTGCATCTTTATATAGAGAATTGGATACTTCTAAGTATCTCCTAAGCCCACAGCTACACGCTGGTTTGTGCCTGAAGCAGGGATTCTGGTGTGCTGAAGGACAGCCTGAACACTCTCACTGGATGCAGGAATGAACATTTCCTATATTCTTAAATTAAGATATAAAGGCTGAAGAAGTGGATTTCACACCAGCTGATTAACACTGCTTCAAAGGACTGATAAAAGCACACCAGCTGAAGATATTGACTATCCTTTGCAGGTCCCTTTCAGCCGGACTGCTGGTCTGTGAAAGCAGCTTGTGCCCAAGGAGTGAAGAATATGAAATGCCTTGCATGGCTCAGGGAGGAGTCTGTCAGTTCGTTCATGTTCTACTTAGTGAATACTGGCTTTTAGGCTAGTTTTAAGCTGTTCTTATAACCGATTTTGTTCTTAAAAGTGTCATCTTAAGCATTGCACCCAAAAGGCCAGAACTCATTCCGAAGCTTTTATAATCACCAAGGGCTGGGATCGCTGCGTTAAGATGGCATGCATGGGGATGTAGCACTGGGCTGTCAGTTAAGCAGCATGTTGCCATCCCTAGCAATAAGGTTTGCTGCTGTCATCTTGCAACTGGGAATATGAGGTTTTAAGAAAAGGAGGATTTAAGAAAAGCTTTTTTTTTTTTTTTGGTGTCCCTGTTCAAAATTGAAATTGATGGTTCATTAAAAAAAATAATCAAGATTTCTTGTATACAACCAGATGAAAGCCAGTACAAAAAGTCAAATGATTTGTGGGTTTTGATAGTGCCTTAATTTTGTGAGTTTCCCTCCCCTTCAGTAGAAAACAGGAATTGTACCTGACAGCTCAACCGTATGGTTTTGCAGATGCTGGTCTACTGAAACCTGATGTATCACTAGCATGCACAAGACTATAAATGTTTTATGACATGTCTGATTCAAGGGGAATTTTGTTTTATAAAAGCCGTCAACAAATAAAAATTGTGAAGTGACTCTGATTGTCCACTGGCATTTGAGGAAATACGCGTGTTTCTTTTACTCTTGCCAGCCTCAGAAGCCACACGCACCTTGATCTACTGACAAAATGGTTCTAACTGAAGAGAGAGATCAAACTTTGATTATGTCCTACAAGTATGCCTGAGCATGTTATATATGGAAATAACACGGTAAAAGGTCCATTGCTTTTGTTGCATTTGTAGTGTTGTCGTCCAAGCAGACCTTCTGACAGGGAGGGAAATAAGGAAACTAACTTCCTTTGGTGTTTATACCAGTTGACTCTGTCTTTCCTTTTGTCGCTATGAGAGGAAGGAGGACATTCATCTGGGACAGGTAAATATACACACGCGCATACAACCACACACACACAATTCTAGCATATTTATATGGAGTTTCAGTATTTCTATTTAAAACTGAAAAAACCCCAAAATGCTTTGAATGAGTGTGAATATTTATTTAGCATGGTACTGTTAGCTGCTGCTCTGCTTTCTAAGTGCCAGAGTCCTTGCTCTTTGAAGTCTTTTGGACTGAGTCAAATCATAAGCTACTAACCAAGAACAGATAGGAGAAGTATTCCAAGAGATGTTAAAATTAAAGCTCTGTATGCCTTTGAAGTACCTTATCTGGAAAGGGATTAGTACTGAGAAGACAACTGCCGTAAAGAAGAGTCACAAGTTTCATTTAGTGAGGCCTTTCATAGTGAGAGATAGGGAACCTTTCTTGAATTTCCATGGCTCAGCACTGGTGGTCTTTGGTACAATTTCAGACAGGCATCCTTCATCCCAAGAAGCAAAGATGGATCTTTCAAAAAGCAGCATATTTTAACCATTGCTGCAGGGACACAGGGTTCTACAGGGCTGCTTCTACACTTCTGGGAAGCCCTAATTTACCTGTACATATGCTTCTTCCTTAGGAGTCTGCTCCAACCATAATGAAAACGGTAGCTGGGCATTTCCTAGAGGGATGGAGTAACTTGCTTCCGTGGCACAGAGATGGGAGTGATGAGGAAAACACGATGCAGTCAATCTACCTGGCTCACTAAATGAGGACCTATTTAGCCCCTGCAAAGGGCTATTTATTTTCTGAAGGGTTTTACTTGTCTCCCCCCAGATCTAACTCTTTTAAAATGTTTATTAATGCTCCTTAATTTATCATCAGAGCAGTTGAGAATACAAATTGCATGGGAGTGTGGGATTTAAAGTCTCTGTATGACCCAACCAATGGAAAGAGGGTCAGTGCAAGCCTTACGCATATTAAAAAAAAAAGTCCAGAAAAAAGCACTAGAATGTTTCAGGTGGTTTAACCATTCTCCTCTCCCGTGATATCCATTTCGGTGTTATGAACAAATTTTGCTCAGGACCTGGACAGAGCAATAAACAAGAGCAGGTTGATGAGAGTAGGTATTTCAAGTGCTTTGAAAAATCCTACGATGTCTCAAGAGTCCCATGCTGTGCTGTTCCCAGCTCCAAACTCTGCTGCAGCACAGGGTAGGAGAGAAGCATGCCAGGGCTTAGACTTCCACGGGACAGACGTCATTCCCTCCAAAGATGTTCTGATCTGATAACTCCTGATACTAACTCCAGTGAGATGTAGCTAAATTTAGCAATAGGTTTAATCCTCAAAGAGGCCCTAGTTGCCTGATGGAAAAAGCAAAGTGTTTCAGTTGCTGCTCTCGGCATTTCTTGTTGACACGTTTCCCTTTTCTGTTACACAGTGCGAGCCAAACCCAGTGTCTTCAGCTTTTTCATTGTTGCAGATCAGCTTCACAGACAGGGAAAGCTCTACAGCCCTTACTGTGTTTGTAGGAAAAAAAAACAACCCATAGGATAATTTTACAGAAAACACTAATAATTTTTCACAGTAAATGAACTGAAGTAAAAAAAAAAAGGGAGGCCAAAGGAAAGAATTTCTATACTGAAAAGCTTATGTGAGAAAGGGCAAAGCCAATACAATAGAGCACCAAGCTAGAGCAACCAGTGTTCTTGTTTTCCCCTTTTCCTTTTATTATTAATGACAGCATGTACATTCTTCCACATTTTGTCCAAAGAGTAACCAAATTATATAATCCAGCTAAGCGGAAAGACCCAGAAGGTAAAGATGGATGTTACCTTGGCCATCTCCTGAGCAACAGAGAAGTTGTTCTTTTAACACTTGCCAGGTGATTAGCTGCCAAATGCCTGCTTCTTTTTCCTGCAGCCTATTTCATGGCTGTATGGTGCTTTAAAGGTATAAAGCACTAGATCAGTGCTGAGAGTGTCAATCCAAATAGCACATAGGACACATAGGAGCATTAAAAATTACAGCTTTATGCATTTCACAGTAGCACATCTTTATTTGGGCCCTTAGCTATAATTGTCTGCTTTACAGTTCTTGTGCTATTGACCTAACTGCTTACCATAAGACGCAAGACCGAGGATTATATGGAAAGTAAGGCTGGCATAGCATGGCATTTCCTATGACCTGAGATACCCAGCTTTTTGCTGCAGCAAAGATTTTTCCCTCAAGATATTTTAGTTCTTTGCCAAAATAATGAGAAATCAGAATATACATCAATAAAAGATTTTCTAGAAAGCTCACAAAGGTAGTTTGGATTTGGTACAAGCTTCTTCCATTTCTACTAGGAAGACAGGACACTGACAAGGCAAACTACTAGCAATGGAGAAAACACATCGTCGATACCAAAGTGGAGACAGTCTCTCTGCACACAGAGGGTTGATATTTGCCTCTTTAGGATGCTCTCACTATTGGCCCCAAGGAGATCTGGTTTGTCCCGTGTGCACATCCACAGTAAGGAAAGGCCAATTAAAGGGGTTTGGATTTCATCAGACACCAACAATGTGGTTCTTACTTGGTAAACACCCACAAAATTACCTCCCAGCTAAGAATTTAATCCTGCTCTCATGTGGTCTGTAAACGCAGCAGTCTGTGAGCAAGCTGTTGGGGGATGATGGCTCACGGAACAGACAGACGGTGAGAAAACAAGTTCCCTATCATGCCAGAGCCCACGCTGCCATCGTGACTCACAGTTGCTACTCACTTCAGCTCTGTGATGACATTTCTGACAAAAAGGAGATGTTGATAGTGCTAAGATCAACATTCATGAGTATCTTTGAGTCTGGTCTCTCTTTTACACTTTTGCATTTGCATCTTTCGCACATTATCCCTAGAAAAAATGTACCATTTATAATATTTGCTATCATGACTCTTATCTGTTTCCTTTATGTTCCAAAAGAGAATTTGGGGAGGAAATTTTTTTAGAGAGCTTGCAAACTGTAACCTTTTAGGAAGAATCAGTGTGAGATAAGTGATTTCATCTTAGCTTTAGGGTACAGGTAGGCTATAGATGTGGAATGCAGGAAAACAGGTCTGAGATGTTTAGAGGCTTGAACATTTTTATAGCCTGAGGAAATCCAGAATGTCCCTGGGAAAGATTTGGTTGGTTGACTTTGTTTGGTTTTGATCTGCAAATTACAGAAAGCTCACCAGAAACCGTAACACACGTGCTGAATTCCTGCAGAAAGCACGCTGCTGCTTTTCCAATTATCCCAGCCCCTGATGCTTCTCAGTCGAGCTGGCAGATCTTGACTTTCCAAAAAAAGATCTGCTAGTTGAGGACTTCTGGTCCCACTGCAACCAACTGCTTGAATCAGTGAGTGAGCTAATTTTCTTTGATTTGTTAGTGACAAGAATTGGTGTAATCAGTAATAATGACAGGTATATGCAGCGAGATGCATATAGCACATCACAGATTGCAGTGCCTTGAAGAACAGTCTAAAAATCCATGACTTCAGAGTCCTAATGTTGGCTTAAATTAGATTTAGACTAATGTAGGCTAAACCCTAATGTAGGCTCTCTGTAATGTTTGTCTCTTAAGGTAAGATGCTTCGTCTCCCTGCCTGTTGATTTATGATAGGTTAGGATGTCGGTTAATCTCTTCTTATTTGACTAGATGACTGTGGAGATTAATCAAGTATTGTCTGCAAAAGGAACCCATAAATACAGATTACTAATTTTTCTTTAATTATTCCTCTGTATGACAGAGGGATACAGAGGGAGTACAGACAAGGATAGACACCAGCCTCTTAAATCTCATTTCATGAGGGAAACAGAAAAACCACAGCAGCTGCTCTGGCTGATACTGGTTGTCTCTGACATGCTCAGTTCAGTTTCCTGGAAAAGGCAAAAAGCCACAGAAATAATAGATTGTGGTCTCCTGTGAGAAAATGGGGAACCAGAAAGTGGTTCCAAGTGAGTGAATCTGCTTGGCTGGTACAGCACCACCTCTGTTTCCACAGGACATGAAGAAAGCAGCATTTCTTATGGGAAAAGCTATACTGAACAAATACAGAAACACATATTGAAACAAACTGAAATAGCAACATGCTGTGAATATTGGAAAACAGACCAGCGTGGAAGACAGACATTGAAAAGCATGTTCTGTGAACATGAGGTGGAGACACCTATTCTACTAGGGCCTGTGCCGAGATGGTTGCACCAGTTACCTTCTCTCCCTGTGCATTCCAAGGGCATTTGGACAAAGATGTTATTTTCCCACTTGTTCTCTGTTGACAGCTGCAGTTTCCTGCCTTTGAGCTTGTAAATTATTATATTTTTCTTTCTACCTTTTCCCATGTGCTGCTCTTTTGGGAATGGTACTCCAGTCCAAACGTAGCCATAAAGTAGTAAATATTTATTGTGCACAGCTTAAAAACCTTTTAGTAAATTCACTCTTGCACAGCTTGACAGAAGGCAAATAGCGACAGGGCATAGGCATACTCCCTGGGTATTAAGAAACCTACTTTAAATGGCTGAGAGTGCCTGAACCATAAATGATACTAGTACTGGTAGGCTTACCTGATGCTAAAATACACAGAAGAGTATTTCTAAAATAGTCAGGGGTAGCGAACAAAGGGACCTCAGGTGTATAGCAGCTGACAGGGAGCACATTTAGTGCCTTAGAAAGAGACCCTGGGGATTCTGCCCAAGCGACAAACACCAGTTGCTATAGAGATAGCTGTCCTCTTCAAATACAGCTGGATCGCTCCAGGATGCAGTGAAGTTTCACTGCATCTCAGTGCAGACAGTCAACCATCTCCTACTGTCCCTGTCAAAGTAGCTGAAATTTCCCCAGGCTTTCCTTTAAAGAAGGAGCAAGCCAGCTTTCTGGAGAGAGGCACCACTGACTGGTGTTCATTGCCATTAGTCATCTCCTCTCTAACGAGCAGTCTCTGCTGAGGCGAACTCAGGGAGTCCAGAGAGCAGCATGAGCTTCAGTCCTGATACACGCCGGGATCTTCTCTATGGGAGGATGGTTCCTCTTCCTTTCCAGCCCTCCAGCCTGGTCTGAGTCTTCATCAGCTCACTATTTTCAGGTAAATAAGCTGAAAAGTCCTGAAGCGGCTGAATGCATCAGGCACTCTCTCTGCTAGTTTGCAAAGTGTTACAACGCGGTGAGACTACTGTGCTTAGCAGAGAAGCTGTAAGCTTGCAGCTTCATTTGAAAGTGAAGATGCCCATAATCTGCTGCATTTTGTATACAGCTTTATTCTGTCACACCCAATTTGCACTTAGAACATGTCAGAGATGGCAGAATCTGCATTAGTTCAGGAGCTAATGGCGTTTGCAGCGAAGCCAAATTCAGCCTCAGCACTACTGTGCAATAATAGCTCAGTGCAGCGCAATGCCTGTCTGCACACAAGACAGCAAAACTCTCAGGCTTTCTTTGAAACCCTGGGCAACACACATTTGATTCCCATCCACCACTGTAAGAGCAAGAAATATTTGTGAAGAACTTCTCTTCTTGGAGAACATCCAAATATTTCCCACTTCCTCTGCTTACTGGGACACAGTTGCCAGACTAAGCTCCTAAAGTGGTAACTGGCAAGTGGGTAGCAATGACTCAGATTTTCAGGAATTACAAAACTCAGATTTCCCTTCTCTGAAAATCTTTCACTCTGTCTCCATTTTTAAATAAGAAAACATAGGCTTAGATGGGCTCTCAATTCCGCAAGAAGTGCCTTCCAAAGAAAGAAAATGCTGCAGCATCTCTTCCAGTAGGAGATAACACGATGAATATGCTGTTTGGACAGTGAGGTGTTCCCAGCCTAAGCAGATAGGTCAGCATTTACAGAAACGGTTACAGCTGCAGTTTCTGGAAGGAATGTGTGAGAACTGCAGACAATCTGAAATTAGTGGGCGTATAAAGACACAGCTAGTGTTAAGATTTTACCTACAACACCTGTCCAAGTTGTGGTAGACCTCATGTATTTCCAAGAACAGTTTTGGGATGAAGGATGTGACGTGACTGGATTTTCACCAAAAGACAGGGTTATAAGTTAAACCCGCTCTCTCACTGTCAAGTTTGGAATTCACGTGGGCTGGAGTGTAAAGCAATACATGGATTTCCCGATACTGCAACCTTGGTGAAAGCTAATGAATCATTCCAGGGGTATTATGCTAGGAGTGCTTGCTCTCTGTTGGACAGCAGGGCAGACATGATAATTCCTAATTCAAGGGAGCCCTTTCCTCATCTGATGCTGGCACAGACTTCATTAGTGATCACTTTTCACTTAGAACAGTCCCAAGGAAAGCTGCAGATACAGCCATTCCCCATCCTAATTTTAGCATTCCCTCTTGTACTATATCACACGATTATGTAGTGCCATGAATGTCTACATGATTTTGGGGAGAGAATATTCCAGTTCTGAAGAAATTATAATCTCATGTGGTAAAACATATGTAAGGAGAAAAATGACCTTTATATTCCCCATGACTTTTAATTTTGCAGGTGTGAAAAGTATCCATGAATATAAGACCTATGTATCAGTGAACAGGAGAGGGTGCATGCATGTGGGCGCTGGGAGTGAGCACTCATGCTTGTGTTCATGTGCATATATGTGCTTACCTTTTCTCCTACTTGCTTTGTCTTCTTAATTTATCTTAAATTTACCTAGTTTGTTGTTTGATTTAATTCAGTGAATATGTCACTTAAAAGGTGTCACAAAGATTTTTCTAGAAAGTGGTAATCTCTCTTGTAAAAAGCACAGCAGGGGAAGGGGCCATAAAAATTTCACAGACTTGACTCTGTATGAAAAGATTCCCTGTGGGTAGAATTGCCTTTTAGTGTGGCTATTTATCACTGCTCAGATGGCCAACAGTGTGGCTGAGTGGTCTTAAAATAGGATGGAGGGTTTGCCGCAGCAAGATGCAAGACAGACATTTTTCTGGATCAATGCTGCTGTACTGTATTCTATAACTATGCAATCCAAAATTTCCTGATCCAGAGTTTTCATATTAGCAAATAAAAACACAGTGTGACAAGCCAGTATAGAACCTTGAAAATGCACTCGCATTGGTAATGTAGTAACGTGGGCACAAGCCTGCAGACATCTGGAAACCACAGTTTTACAAGACTTAACCACAATGTCATCTATATGAAACTCAACACAGATTAGATGATAGCAACACAAACTGCATTTTCAGTGCAAAGTCTAAAACGACAAGTAGACAACCTGGCTCCAAATTCCTAACTTCTGTTGTGCTGCACAGATCCTTCCACGCAGGCATGGCTCAGAAAGAGACACCCTCCTGGAGAAAGCATACCCAGAAGCGCAGGCCTTCTGCCAGAAGCATGGCCTAATTTTGAGGTAAATCACTTCTCTCCTGTCTATCCTGCCCAAAGGCCATCAAAATGTGTGGGATGGAGGAAAAAAAACCCAAATGCTCGTAAGTTTTCCACCTCCTTAGAAGCCTCCTAAGAGTCAAATACTGCTGTATCGATTTCCTAGAACTTTTGGATAAAGTATATTTGTATGCTTGAGTTGTATGGATTTCAGTGCAGAGTTAGGTGGCTAATCATCTTCAAGCACCTGGACGTGAGGGTTTACATCATCCTTTTGTTTCTATATTCAATTGGAAAAAACGTTCCATGTATAAATTCCACTGGATATACTTCAGGGGTAGTTGAACTAGTCCTAATTATATTAATTTGCACAGAACTTCTAGCATAAAAGGGGCTATTGAAATGTTTAGGATCCTTATCTTCTATGATAGAAGATAGGCTTGAAATGTTGCAGCGAATAACCTACAGTCTTGTGGTTCCTTGTACTGAAAAACTAAGTTGTTTACTTGGTCATCCATGGTCCAAATCCCTAAGTCTTTCACAGGAGATTTTGAATATCTCAGTGTCTCTCATAGAGTTCCCGTAATTAAAGTTGCATACCACTAGTGTTCAGACTGATCTAAAAATTAAACGTGATAGAACAACTTAATTTTCCCATGTCACTGTTTTTATGATAGTACTGACTAGTCTAAGAACCTTAAAAAAAATATTTTTGTGCTGGTAATTGACTTGAAATGGGGTATTTCTGAGCTTGTAGACCCTGATCACAGACACACACAACTCTGGAGGAAATTGAAGCCGTCAGAAACTGTCAGGCGGTCCCACCTTCATTGCAAGTGCTAGCACTGCTGTGCATACTCAATCCCTATGGCTAAAGTGAGACATACAGGGCAGGCCACACGTGCTCAGAAAGTCTACTGGACAATTAAGGTGGTTTTCAAAAGTAATTAGCCTGCCTGAGCAGCTTCACAAATCAGCTAGCTGATGGGGCTGAGATGTCAATAGCTGCCAGTAGTCCCTAAAAGACAAAAGGAGCCCTGACAGGCACACACATATAAGTCCAGCCCTGAACACAGAGTCTCTCTGGAGCAGAAGGTAACAGGGGTTGTGTGTATTAACTAGCAGATAGAAGAGCCAGATGGACATACACATAAGGCAAGAAGCTCTTGCTCCAAGTTTGCTTCCTGCCCAATACCTCAATATTGAGGAGGTTTTCTCAGTAACTAAGGAACAAATACAAATTCCCCACGCAAAGAACCAGAAATGAAAATGCCATAGCAACCACCAGGGACAGAGCGGGGTGTCACACTGCAAGCTGATACCTGTTCCATGCTTCTGCCCTACGCAAATCCCTCCGATCACTCCTTCTAACCACTGAAAGCTCCCCACGGCAGCAGCCCACCTCAGCTTCCTTGAAGCACTTTGGTGACAGCCCCGAACAGAAACCCACACCCAGAACTTTAAGCCTTGCAGAAGAGGAGAGGAGGCTGAGACACCTGCATAAGTGCCAGGTTGCTTCCTCAGGTTGTTTTGGTTTTAGAAAGGGAGAAAGAAAGTTTTGCTGAACAAAGAGAATAAATATGCAGTCCCAGGGGGCATAACTGAAGCCACAAGTAAATAAATAACCAATTAAGTATTTGTGCAAGTTGTGCCTGATTTCCCTCAAGACCCTTCCACCAGAAGTCAGCAACGGAAGGGAGCCTCACCACAGTGTTACTGCACCCAGGAGCTCACCATCGCTGAGCTCCCTGCAGCTCACACCTCTGTTAGCAGCGCCATATCGCACATGCAGATGGCACCAGTAGGCACTCAGGCAGTGTATTCCTCAGATTGGTTCTCAGTGTGTACCTAGAAATCTCAGTAGAGCCAGCCACAAAGGTTCGACTACTCCCTCTCCCGCTTACACCCACCAGAAGAGCACTGCTCAAGGACTACACTGTGGGTTTGCGCTCTGAGCTCATTCTGGCTGTTTCCAGACTGCATGGATACTGGATGCTGACCCTTTTCAGGATCTCCCTCCTCCCCGGCCCAGCCTTCAGTCCTAATCAAAAGTCCCCAGGCTCAGTCCTGTTCCCCTAGTTCTTCTCCACCCCAAAGCCAATCTTAGAGCACCACTGGCCAAAGTCCCCAGACCAATTCTGCTCTGTGCTTCCACTACCTCACCTCCATCACTCTCCCCCCCCTAGACACACTGTAAAGGCCTGAGGAGCAGCTGCTGTAAAGCCACTTCTCCCCGACCCCAGGCAGGCTGGGGCTCTGCCTGGCTGTCCCCATCCAACATGGAAGCCACAAGGGCGCTGTGGTTACCAGCAGGTTTTCTGAGCAGCCCTCCCTCGCAACCCTAGGTGCTAAGGCAAGCAGCCAGTCCATGTCCCAGCTGTCACTGCAGAAGCAGTGCCTGAAGGCCGGACCTTTTTTGCCTGTTGCAGGGACTCCTGGGGGACCACTGTGGGCACCAGACTGTGCCTCAGCTCATTGCGGGGAAGGAATTTGAGGCCCTAACTCTGCAGCTGTCAGGGGACTCTGCCCAGCTCCTGACACAGTGGTACCGGCGGGATGAGAACGCGCTGCCCACCTGCTACGTGCTGCAGCCGGCTGACGGGCAGGCCTGGCCTCGCCTGGAGAGACGCCTGGCCTCAGCGCTGTGCGTTGGCAGCCCAGAAGGCAGAGAGGTGCGAGCTGCTCAGCCCAGAGCAGAGGCACTGCTACAACAAATCAGGCGTGTTCTGGCAGGGCTGTAATGTCCTTCTAACCGGAGCTGTCAGGGAAGACAGCTGTTTGTTTCAAGACAACATCAGATTGTACACAACAGGAAAGATGCAGGGAAGGAAGAGACTTGCTAACTATCTGCGATAGCCCAAATCCTGAGGAGGGAGGTTGGTGCTGACTAGCGTAATACACCAGATATAAATGTTTCTCCTTTTTCCCCCCAATCTCCCTGACCACATCCAGGAGTATGCCTAGCTCAGAGGACACGGGGAATGCTGACCTCCTAGCATCATGTGAAATACAGAAGGACCAAGGGATGTCACATTAATGTTGATGGATGGCTTTTCCTGTGTTCTGTTCTGAAAGCGAATGCTCACATCTCCCGTTTTGTCTGGGTTGGTGGTTTTTTTTTTTTTATTTGTAGCGATTGAATGGGAGATTGAACAGGGTCTCCTCAATACCCAGGAGAGCAACCCAGGGGCTTTCATATTCCTCAGAGAGGTTGAGGATTCCAACAAACAAATTGGGCAATGAACAAACTGTGAGCTGAAAGAAGACAGTGAAGCAAACAGCTGCTCAGCAACCTTAAAGCAAAAATTGCAAGCCATTATCCCAAACACCTCAAAGTACACACACTGGCATACAGAAAAGACTCTGGGAACCCGCAAGCACAAGGACAATAACAAATACCTGAAAAAACTTTGTGAGCCGTTCACTGCTGTCACTAATCACCAGGTTTTAGAGAATCTTTGATACTGAGGACAGATCAGCAAGGAGCCAGGGCGACTTCTGCAGGAGCTGGGCCACCACACAGCTCTGTGCCTGAAGAACTGCAGATTTTTCTGTGGGAGACAGAATTTATTGGATAACATCTTTCACCGTATTAGGCAGAACAATAATGAAACCCACACAGCCCTCATCCATTATGGGCCACCAGGCTGTGGAAAAACAGCTGTGATGTGCAAACTATCTGAGCGGGTGCAAGCTGTTTTAGGGCAAGACACCGTAGTCATGATTCACTTACTGGGGACATCTGTCTCCAAGTGTGTTTAGCATTTGATTTGCCACCACCTCCAACCCAGACCAAACTGGCTTGCAGTGATTTAGTCTTGTTCCTTGGTAAACTCCTCCTCACTGTCTCCCATTGTGGCACACAGACACTAGTGTTGTTCTTTGACTCTGTGGAGAGATTACTTTCTGGTGATGGTGCTCACAGGTTCTACTGGCTCCCTACAGATTGCCCTCCAAAGGTCCACATCATCATTTCCATTTCCACAGCAGAGCCTGATACTCTGAAATCTCTCCAACATGCTGTGCCTGAGGCTGAAGCATACTTTGAAGTAGGACCCTTATCCTGTGAGGAAGGTGAGGAGATGCTAGAGATGCTCTTAGCATCAGACAGACGACGGCTAAACCCAGCTCAACGGGCCTATTTCTGTCAGAGCTTCCCTAGTGGTGGGCAAGCCCTGCTCTTCCATGAGGCCAGAAAACGGGCATCTTACACTTCACCTTCAGAACTAGCGTTTGCTAGCACAGCCCAGGATGCCGTGCACCATCTGTGCAAGAGACTGGAAAAGTCACATGGCACAGTCCTTGTGGTTCATGGGTTTGGCTATATTGCTTCCTCACGGTGAGTACTGCTGTATCTCCGATGGAACAGCCCATATTTCCTGCTGTTCATAGGGAATCCGACTAAATACAGCCAAAACCAGTCAAAGCTCTCAGTTCTTTGAGCCTGTGAATGTGTTCATACATATATTTAGCAAGCATAACATTCCTCTCATACCTGGCAGCCTACCTAAACTACTGTCTTGAAGGGAGATGTTCTGGGATTACAATTGATCTCCATGGCTTAGCCAGGGTCTAAGCTCTCAGCTGAGACTGCCATGTGTGCATGTGAGCTAGTGAGATTTTTGGTGACTAGTACTTTTGAACTGCCAGAAAAACCACTCACCCTCCCACTATGGATAGCAGCATAAACAGTAAGGAGGAGGATAAATAATTTCCTTTCATATATCACACTTCACTTGCAGAAATGGGCTGTCAGACATGGAGCTGAAGGACATTTTATCCCTTGACAATGAAGTTCTCTCAAACATTCACCACTGCCACCTTCCTTCAAGTAAAACTATCCTGCGCCTTCCTCCTCTCCACTGGGCACAGCTACACAGTGACATGGGAGAGTGCCTGGCAGAACGGAAGGCAGATGGCTTCACCCTTCTTTGCTTTGTACACAGGTACTTTTAGAGGGCAGAGAATGAGAAGCCAAACCTTTGAGTATGAGATGTTCCCATCCTGGGCTTTCGGGCACCCTGCCTAGACTCCTCTCCATTCTTAAACTCTGTCTAGAAAAAACCCAGCTCTAGCTCCCTGTTCCAGTACACCTAGTACTTTTTCCCTTCCCAGGCAATTTGTTGAAATGGTGCAGAATCGTTATCTGTCAAAACAAGACCGAATCAAGAGGCATTTTCTCCTGGCAGATTTCTTCAAGGGGACTTGGAGCTGGGGAATGAAGAAACCTCTTACATTGCCACACTTTAGCAGGACCTTGAATGCCGACAGGAAGGTGAGGAGTATTAGCAGGCATTTCCATACCTGTAAGCTCTGGACCAGGGCTCTGTGTCTCCAGACTGCTGGACAGGGTCTGAAATCAGAAGACAATGGAAATAATAGTAAATAACACTATTCAGCCCTTTCAACAATGACAAAGTTTTTGTTTGTTTTTTTTTTTTTTAAACAGGTATCTCCAACCAAGGAGATCTAAAGTCATTTTACAAACTCTGTCATGCAGTCTTCATATATGTAAAAGGCTACTGCAACAAGAAAGGAAGGAATTTATTATTCACATCTGCAGAAAGGCAGCCTGCCTTAGATTGTAGCAAGAGAAATTTAGAGTCATGAAAAACATTTTGTACTACCAGGAAAACAATGAAAGTCCTGGAAGTGCTGTCTAGCGTACCTTGAGATATCATCTAGCACTGAAGTTGTGAAATCAAACAGATTAATCCACAAGCCATGTCTCAAATCCACTGTTCTGGTTACTCCTAGGTAGCCCCTCAGCCTCTCTGGTTCTCTGATACTGTTGCAAATCTGAGGAAGTTGAGTGAATTGCCATTTCATTTACTTAATGCTGGATGAATTGAGGAGCTAAAACAAGATGTGCTGGGTAAGGACTGGGCAAGAGGGGGTATACAGTGCTCTGCAGAGGCATGCTTCATACCTACAGCCACAGGTAAGAATCACAACCTTTCTGCACAACATCAATAACCGCTGTGAGAAGGAAGCTTGAAAAAGAGAAATAAGCTAACTTTTACGAACTGTTATCCTAGAATTATCACCACACTCCTTTAGTAGCTGGAAGAAATGATCTAGATCCTCCAAACGCTGAGAAGAAAACCTATTAAAAAACCTAACAAATTTTAAAAAAACTACATAGAGCATTTAAGAGGCTAAAGAAGGAACTGTGACAATGCGAGCCCTCCGCTTCCTCAGCAAATGAGTCCTAGTTCCACTGCTAGTGGCTGTTAATCCTTCTATCCCCTCCTTCCCCAAAAAAGCATTTTTTTATCTCAGTCTTTTCAGAATAACTGTGCATTCTCAGGGTTGATGTTCTCTGCTTTAATAGTATTTCTTTCTGGAGGGAATATGAACTGGATCAGCTGTAAAGTAATCACCTCTGGAATAGAGAGTGTTGATGACTTTGCCATGTGTACTGAATGCATCAGCTGTCCAAACTACGCCTTGTGCAGGACACACTTCTCCTTTTGAAGCCTGCCGTCAGAGGTATACACAGCCCTGAAGGTAACAGCTATGTCAGAGTGACAGAGCGTGACGCAAGTGTTTACCAGAGGAAAGAACTGGAATTTTCCTTTCCAAGTAAAAGTACTTTTCTGAGGAATTACAACCAGTGACAGAATTCTCTGTTCTGGGATCCATCAAAAGACTCAATAAATGCCTCATTCTGGTAGGGACTCTGTATGGGAAGCTGAGGTTTCTTCTTTGCCAACAGACATTTTGTCTATTTGATCAGAGCAGTTTACCACAACCAAAGCGCCTGTTGCTCCACGTCTAGTAGAAGCACCCGTTAGCTATCTGGATTCCCTTGCAGCTTTAAAGCTAACTAGAGGAGAGGGTACACAGTGCTCCTCCTCTGTCTTCTCCCCAGAATACCCACTCCTCCCTCAGGGGAAGAATCCTGCCACACCATTACATTTGCCCATGTTTTATGCTTATATTATTCAAGTACCTGGCCAGATAAGGCCAGCTCAGTTCATTACAAACTGTACATCACATAAAATACAACTATGGTAGCTCTCACAGGCCCACCACAGTCATGTTCTAAAACACTTTTTTGTCTCTGCCCTCTTAGCAGTGAGTATAATATACACAAAAGTGTTGGCCAGGCTTCTTTTTTCCATGCCTTCTTACCCGGAGGTAATTGGGAAGCTGTGCCAGCAGTGTCTAAGCTGGTGCAGTGTCTGTCCCTATCCTGTTCTCATTCCACTCCGTGGATTTCTCCAGCCACCTAGTAGGCCCCTACACACAATGCTCACCAGATTCCTCAAAGGTAGGATTATTCCCGGGGACAGATACAGCCCAAGAATATATCTGATCATCCACCTGTTACGAATGAGATCCAAGAAACATAATAAACAGAGCAAGAAGGAGAGAACATCTATTTCTGTAGAAATACAGTTTGCCTGTGAGCTTACACAAAGGCAGGATAAAGGTCCATTTGCCTTTGTGCTCAGTCACGCACCAGTCCCATTCGCAATTGCTTCAACAAATGAGGATAAAGTGGGTCATTTTGTCGTCAGGACAACAAAAGCACGCACTGACCTAGATATGTCTGAGGGAACCTAATCTTGCTCTTGGCACAGACTATGGGGTTCAACAGTATAGGGGGGGTTCCAGTTGGGGAAACACAGCATATTAACAATCCCAAAATGTCTCTTTTCTGTCTGTGGTATCAAGAACATCCTTTCCTCTTTGTGTCTCATGGCAGCTGTCACAGTGATGGCACTTAGTTCTGATTACCGGCTGCTGGTGGCAGGTTCCCAGGATAGCTCAAAGCTTGCCTGGAATATGAAAGTTTTGGAGATGCTGCATGCCCTTCCGGGCACTCCAGTGAGCCTTCTCCACTTTTTATGGTTGGAAAGCTCTTTTCATGTCTGAAAAGAGCTCTGAGAGCTTGGCGATCCTTGAGCTGTAGGCACACAGACACCGCCCAGCTGCCAGCATTCTCCCAATTGCCGAAAGCACTGAGAATCCCTTGTTTTGTGAATCCTCATCTTATTTTATAGCTGAGGTGAGGTGTGTGAAAGTGTTTGGAAAAGGAACCCGTGCTGTTTCAGCTGCCATGGATCACATGGATCTGCGCATCTGGAATTTGATTTCTGGCAGAGCAAGGTTTATTATCCAAGATACACATATCGAAGAACAGCTCTCACATGACCTTCATGTGGATGAGTGGCACATGATTATATATTCTTCCTCAGATACAAAGGTATGGCCAGTCTTTAACTTAAAGCGTGCTGAAAGAACAAGAACTTTAGAAGTTACAGTCACAATCACGAAGGTTGTAGACAGAAAAGCCACCTCGGTCCTCACTACTCCTCTCTCTTTTGCCACCTCTTTACTAGGCCAATGCTTGGCACCTGGGGACAGCAGAGCTCATCTTCCAGATTTCTGGAGAGGTGTCAGCTGCATGGCTGTGTTCTGCAGCATTCAGGCCAAGGCTGGTGATTATGACTGTGTCTGAAGGAGGAACACTGAGTCCGTGGAGCAGCAGCAGCACCAGTGAGCTGAGATCTAAGTGTCAGCTATCAGGGCTGCAGGAAGAAACACCAACGTCCAGTGTTCTGATCCAGAAGCAAGGGAAGATGATAGTGGGATTTAGCGGGGGATCTCTATCCATGGTAGACACCTATCTGTTCAACGTTCTTATAACATTTCTTGTATTTTCTTATAATATCCAGAGGTTTGCTGAGCCAGGTAACACATCTGGTAACCAGCGGGCCCTCCTTCTCCATTCTGAATAGAGCATCCTCCTCAGACCTCCATATCCTAGTTCCCAAATGGACAAGCATAACGCTTTCTATCCTTCTGCACCTTATAGCTCTGCCCAATACCATGCGGCCAAATTAAATTTCACTGCCAATCTATCCTCTTTCCTTCACGAGACAGGCAGCTCAGCTATCCTAGCTTCATGGCTTACTCTTGCCTTACATTTGTGCAGGTCTATTCTGAGGGAAATGGTTTGCTAGAGAAGCTTCCTGGAAGGGTTTGCTTTGTGGTGGTGTCAGAAGATGAGTCCATTCTTGCTGCAGGTTCAATAGCACCCATTCCTTAGGAAAGCATTGGTAATAGGTGCTCTCCCACATGCCAAGCGTCCTTTAAAAGGGGCCAGCATGTGGAATTTCCCATTAGCCTGGCCTCATTCAACTATTGTGCTTAAGGGGATAACAAAGATGGGGTGAAATTCTCTTCACAAAGAGTCAGAATATTGCCTGTGTACCAGGAGCCCTTTTTCAAGGGAATAAGTGAGATGTAAGTAGTGAAAAAGGCTTAAGCTGTCGTGATTATTTTTTAGGGTTTCTAAGCTACCCTTTGGGCTTACCTTTAAAGAAATACAGGAATTAAATCGTATGCATAAGGACACGGTGTTGAAGGGGATTAGAGACTTCCTCGGCTCAATAAATCAATAACTAACATTTTATTGTTTTAGGCTTTGAGGAATATGTGCGAGTGTACCTGGCAGACCCAAAGGGATTCCACAGGTTCCTAGCGGCACATTTGGAACGTGAAGGAGTGGTTCATACGGCTGTTATCTCTGCTGGCAACAGCATTATTGTTACTGGTTCTCAGGCTGCATCTATCCAGGTAGGGAGGAAGGAAGGCTGGGCAACTTCCCAATCAGAAGCATCTCTTACAAATCCAGCTTACAGAATACGCCTCTGATCCAGTAAAGGGGTCGTCTTGATCCCCAGCAACCTGTCTGGGGGTTGGATTTGCAGTTCTGAACATGTTTCTAGTACTGCCACGCTTCTAAAAAGAAGATGACCACTGACCCTTCTCTTTATTGCTTCAAGCCTTTCTGTTCTCCTTTTATTTTTGACACTGAATGGAGAGCACTTTATCAATTCAGGGGGCCAGCCTCAAGCCAGTGTACGCCTCAGGCCTGAAATACTATTTCATTTCCGAAATGTTTTCAATTTGAACTCCTAAAAGCTGCCTTGTTACCCATCTGTGAGCAGGAGCCAGATGAAATACACAACATCTGGAGCACCATCTCTTGCCAAAGAAAGAGGTAAACAACCAGTACAGTCCAAAATGTGCAGGATCTAATTAGGCATCTTTCAGAGCAAAGGAAGCAAGTGGGCTGAATGGCTCCAGGTGCTTCAAACATTTGTTTTAGAGTAAGAAAGCAATGTTTTGCCTTCTAGTATTAGGATGTTATCCTTTGACTTTACTTATGTTTCTGTACAAGTTAGTTAAGGTATATTGTTTTACCTCTTAAATAGGACTAAGGAAAAAGTAGCTCAGGCACTGATGACTTCTCCCCCTCAACTTTTCCCAGGTGTGGAGTTTATCAGACCAGGGGTTGCTGACTGACGTACTGGATGGCATGGGAGCACCGGTAACACTCTTAGCCCTGTGCGACTGCACTCTGGTCCCTGTCTCCCACAGCACACTGTATCTAGGAGTGTGGAACCTCATTTACAATCATCAGCAGAAAACCTTCGCACCTATCCCAAATACAGGCTGCGCTGCACTGTCCCATGGGGGGGAACTGTGTCTATTTTACCCAAACTGAAGACACTCATAAAATCGTCATCTGGAACGCCACAGAAGGTGAACGGCATCTCAGAAATACTGCATTAAATTAAGCCTGAATACGGGGTAGGATAGAAACAAAACAACTCACAGAGGCAGCAAAAGTAGGGTTAGCTTTCTGAGCATATGACAAGTCTAGTCTGCTCCTTCCTGCTTTTTCTAAGCATGAGATTTAGGAAAAGTTGTTTCAGGCTTGGAGAGCTTTTTAATCTCCTCTCCAAAGTTTTTGTCTAGAATAGCTTATTATTATGACATGGGAAAACTGGAAAAAATGAGTAATACACAAATTATTTCACAAATAAAGAAGCCAATCGTGAGCCCCGTCTGAGGGAAGACATTCACGTGCAGCTGGAGTAAGAACAGTCTTGCTGATTTCCTTCTGTTTCACAGGTGAAGCATGTGACACACCGGACACCTCTGCCCGAGTGAGATGACTGGAACTAGCTGAGCAAAACCAGCTCCTTTTCACAGGGCTTATATCTGGAACAGTCCTTGTCTTTCCACTGAACGCCAGGCAGGATGTAGCACACATCCCACCTCCAGAGTCACAGAAACCAGTCAACGACACGGCAATCAACAAGCAGGAAAAGCAGCTTGCCATAGCATAGGATGATTTAGTCCTTGTGCTGGGCCTTATCCCTGCAGATCCACGCCCAGTGATCGACAGGCCCGCCTACACTTTTAAAACTCAGGTCCCTGGCTCTCCGATGTCCAGAGCAGCTGTCCTTGCAGATCCCAGAGTCCTCTATGGCACGACTAGCGGGGACTTACTCCGTTACGACTGCCCTCGAGCCCCAGTGTTTCCTTTGGAAGGTCACAGAAGCCAGATCACCTGTTTGGAAAGCAGCCACAGAGAGCAGCGGGCACTCTAGATCTGAAGATTCCCTGCAGTGCCTCTGGTTTTTCAGGAACACGAGATGTGCTATTATAAGATACTACAGTGGTAAGACTGTCAATAGTCGATCACTGCCCTGAGCTGTCAGGGAAGATCCAACTGACAGGATTCCCAGCTTTCAAAGAGAATACCCAAATCCTGTATGTAGCTGTGCAGACAGGCAGCAAGCTGTTCTCAGCATCTAGGTCTGATTTTAAAGCACCCTCACATCTAGATACACTATCAAGGTGTCAATGCTAAGTGAATGAGTGGTGTTAACACCAGTCTGACATTAAACGTAAGTCATAGGAGTTATATATCCACAGCTTTTTACTGCTCATTTAGCCAGTGTAAGCTAGATGACACAAATCATTGAAGAGAATGAGACTTCACAAGTTAACAATAGCAACAGAAGGGGTAAATTAGGCCAGCTCAGAAGAATCCAGTACAGGAAAAAAAAAGTGATGGAGGAGGCTGGATCAATGCTGTTCCTCTTTTACCTGACAATATACCACAGACGTGTTTGAGCTACTCCTTTCCATAGGTGGAATAGTGGGCTTTTGTACAGTCACACTAGGCTCTCCTTCCTGCACAGCTATAGAGTGCTTCAGAAGCTAGGGGCTTTCTTTTGTGATACCTCCCACTCTCCTTCCAGGATCACCCTTGTAAAAATATTTATTACCTCTATTCTTAAGCATTGAATAACCACTGAATACTCTAAGGCATCTTTACCTCAACCTGTGTTTACCAGCGTAACAATCCAACCCTAACCATCCATTTTCGGCCTACATCTCTCCTGAAAGGCATTTGCTGTGCTTGCTTCTCAGAAGATAAGGACTTGTACACTGGACCGCTGGATCAGTCCATTGCAGTCCAGGATGTTGCAAGTGGTGAGTGAAGTGCTAGCAACTACAAAAAAGTCTGTACTCCTTCCTGTATTAAATAGGCTTGTAGCATCCTTCGTGTTGCAAGAAGGGAAACATGCCATACAGCAACAGTTTGTGCAAGTATCAGAACAGAGGCGAGAATACCGAACCCAGAGGTAGTGTATTAGCATTATGACTGGAAGCTGCAATCGCAAGACTTCAGTTGGAGTATTCCAGCACATAGTAGTGAGAAATATTCTGGGGTCAAATACAGCAGCGAGCTTAAGGGCAAAGCAGGAAAGGTTTCTGTGTGTTTCTATTATGCAAATCATCTATAATGCTCTAAAGAGAAACAAGCAGCGTGGCTTATTTTTTCCCCTCTCCTCCTTGCTCTTCATGTGACTCAGTTTTACTGAGTTCAAATCGTCTGGTGACGAGGGACCATTTGAGGGAAGCACCATATTTTAAGTCCAATCCTGCTACAGAGCAAATGCTTTATTCCGAGCTTGGTTTCCGCAGGTGCCTTGCTGGCTGTACAGTGTGCATACACAACTGCTAACGGAACTGTACCAACTGCAGATGGATTTGTTGCAATAACAAAAGTTGGTTATATAATTCATGAGAAGTTTCACTGTCCTAAGACCACCCCTCCTTGGTATAACCCACTCCAGAACATCGTGGCAACAGGCACGGTAAAATACCGAAAGGAAGACGGGGAAAACTCAAGCAAGCAACAGTACAACGAAGGAAATTCTTCCGGGAGCCTGATTCATACCAGCAAGCTCTCTCAAGTCTGTTCAGTGGTGTAAAAAGCAAAGATGAAGAGGATAAACCAGCATAAACACCCAGGACTGAGCTTGGGGGTTTCTCTTTCTACCCTTTTGCCCTGGTGTCTCAGAATCACAACATTAAACGTCGCTGAAAACTCCCTCGCTGCGGTTATTTAGTCTGTTGATACCTTGGCACAATACTGCTGCTACCGAGTACCACCGTCATAACCACGTAAGAAAGGCAAATAAGAAAAACCAAAACAAAACCCCAACCCTACACCCACATTTTATCCAGCTACACCAGACCAGGCATCAGAGCTCGGTGCGGACCGTTGCTCGCCGCCCGGCCGGAGCTCAGGAGAAGCGGCCGGCGGGCACCCGGCGCTGCGACCTTCCCGCGCCCCACCTCGACGCTCCCCTT